TTGACGCACGAGGGGGTCATAAATAAATAATTATAAAAACAGCTGCTTGTGTGTCAGTGGGCGGAGCTCGATGCTGTCGGTGTGCGTCTCCCCACGCGTGTGTTCATCAAATCATCTGAACTCTCCTGTTGTTGTCTTTGTGCTCACCCTCCATATTTGACCTGGTCACCCCACCTGAGTGATTTCCCGCTGATGTCGAGTGTCATGTGACAGGTAGGACATAAAGAGTAAGAAAGGCTCCGCCCTCTCCGGCTTGGACGGACCACAGGTGCGGGGCGTCAGGCCATGTTTCCTGCTCTCACCTGCCTATGTTCATATATCCTGTCACAGCTGACCTTCACCCACAGAAAGTCACGTGACCACAAATCAAACTGATCACGCGTGGCGACTGGAGCCGATCAGGTGCTGACCTCTGACCTCTACCTTACTCATAGCTGCTGATGTCATTGGGTCACATGATTCCCACCTGTACATCCCGCTGTGGCCCCGCCCCCGACTGCCAGACAGAGAGGGCGGTCTGGTTCGACCGTGAACATCTGCAGCTCTCGGCCTAATGAGCTTTGAGTCTGGAATGGCGCCGTGCTCTGATTGGTCGTTTCAGATCTTAAACTTCAGTTTGAGGTTTCATCAGCTGTGGGCACAAAGGAGCGGAGTGGGCGGGCAGGTGATGGACGGCTGATGGCGGGCTGATAAGCAGCCGTGATGGCAGCCGCGGTTATCAGCGTGCGGAGACAATTTCCTGCCACACAGGAAATGAAAGCTGCATCAGGAGGAGCCGCCGCCGCTTTGTTCCTCAGGCTTTATGAGCTGATTGCAGGTGATACCTTCATCTTCCTCCTCTTCGCCTTTAACACCAAACTTCTCCAATCTGAGGAGGCGAGGAGGAGGAGGTGGTGAGGGGGAGGCGGAGGCGGTGAGGGGGAGGCGAGGAGATATCTGACAGCCACATGAAAGCAGCGGAGGTGACATTTGGAGCAAACGGGAGGAGGCGAGACATTTATGAGGATGAATCGAATCATTTCCAAGCAGACCAGCTGCCCCCCCCCCTCCCCCCTGACTGTGCAGTGGCGCAGCTCCCTGATTGGAGCTCAGCCCTGCAGGTGTGTTTTCCTTCTGCGTGTGACACAAAGCGAAAACGTTCGCGCCTGATATTCAGACGAAGCCGAGCATCATCGTAAATAACCTGGCCTCCTGTGTCCAGCTGCGGTCTCCATGGTTACCAGGTCAGAGACGGCACTCGGTCCTTAACGTATTTAAGGTGGAAGCAGACCTACAGCTGCTGATGTTTATGAGGACAAAGTGTGTGGGTGGAGGTGAACATGTGTGCTGAACTGTCCCAGCAGCAGTGTTTGACTCACAGACTTCAGACAAACAGCCTCAGGATTAAAAGAAGCGTTTGTGCCGACGCCGGTGAATACGACCCCACACGCTCCGCCTCTCAACGCCAGCCTCGTTCATATCATCGCCACAAACCGAAGAGGATTTAGTTTCTGTCGTCCGCCTTCAGCACCCTGTAGCTTCAACATGCGTCACGTTAGAGAGCGAAGGGTGTACTGCACCGCTTCACCTCACGACAAGCAGCAGGTGGACCCAGACACGCCGCAGGGCTGCGTGCTGCTGCGTCACTGAGTCTACAGGAGGTGGAGGCCCTGAACCTCTCAGGACTCCACCCACCTGGGTGAGGCTACAGCGTTACTGAGCTGTGTCCTCGTTACAT